TCAGGCACGTGGAACTCCTCAAGTCCACCAAGTTATAAACCTTGCGCCATGCCTCATACCCGCTGCTGCATCCAACAACAACCAAGCCTTCCGTCTCTCCATCTGAAAAGCTGATCCCCCTTGTCTTCAAGCCCGGATATGCCATCCTGCTCGCCGTGGATTGCCTCCGCATCCCAGAGCTGCTTCAAACTCTTCTCCGAAGATGCTCACAACCACATTGGCAGTTGACCGCGCCCGCTTCCGGAACCATGCTCACCACTGCTGAAACGCTCCGGTTTGCAAACCCTTTGTTTCTGCCAGAAGCTTTCGGGGTTCATCCTTACTTTTCATGCTTTGGGCTATCTCTGACATTCCTCTGGCCAGTGCGTCTTGCTTGCGTCTGACTTTGTTGCTGTTGGGCGCGCCAACCGCTGATTCAAGGTTTTTCTCCGCTGTTTCAAGGTTTTCTGCGTCGCTACCAGCTCCGGAGCGCTCATGGATGTGGATCTGAGCTACGCTCGCTCTCCGTGTTCGGAGGAGACGAGGGGGTGCATTCGGAGCCGGATTTACCACCAGCCGCTCACTTCCAAATAAGTACAACACTCCTCGTACGCGTGCTCGTGCTCCTCACCTTCTTAGCCGGCTTCCTAGACAGCTTGGCGTTAGGCCTGAGTTCCAGTCTCGGCGCAGATGGAGCTTTGTGCTTGGGCTTTTGCGGCTGCTTGGGCCTCAACTGCAGCTGCTGCCCAGGCTTCTTGGGCGTCTCGGGCTCTTTCTTCTTCTGCAGCTCGGCCTTGGCTGTCTCCTCAGGCTTCTTCAGCTGCCCTGGCTTCGGCACATGGCACGGCGGTGCTTTTGCCACAACCACAGCAGCTTTGGGCTGAGCTATCGCTGTTGCTTTCACAGGCACTGCTTTGGCTGCAAGCGCGGTTTCTGCGCTACGGCGCGCTCGTCACACGAACTGCGCGCTTTGGCTAGCGTGTCACGGCTCCTGGACCTCCTTTCGCGTCCTCCACCAAGGCTCCTTCCGACCCACGCGCAGCTTGCCTGATGCGGTAGTTGCTTCCCAAACCGCGCCCAGGATCGAACCGATTGCTGGCTGCTTGCCTTCAGACTCAGCTGCTGCTTTCACCTCAGACAGGATCTTGGGCGGCTTGGCGGCCCTTGCTCTTGGACTGCTGCTCTTCTTTCTCCTCTTCTGCGGCGTGATCAGCGATGCGGGCTTCCTGCTCGCTGTCTGACCATCCACTGCTTTGGCTCCTTCTGCGGCTCTGAACAGGTCCTGAGCCCAGGGCTTCGGTGTCTCGGTGTAACCTGCCTCTTCCTGAGGCTCCTCGGCCTCCGCCGCACCGACCCATGCCGGCAGGCCTCCTCGGCCTTTTCCCCGCTGCCAAGGCGGCTGGAACTTTCGTTCCTTCGTCCCTTTCCGTAGAACCATATAAACCACTCGGGCACGTCTGGATCTTTATTGCTCGCCGCTACCGCCGCTACCATGAAAATATATTTGGCCGCTGCGGAGCGCCCTATTTTCACTTGAGCCAAAACACCATGTTTGCCAATACTGTACAACTCATGACTATTGGCGTATTGCGCTACATAATTCAACACTAGCGGCAGTACATGGTAAAAAGAGACGACGACTCGATGACAATATGCGTCAATAGAGCCACTAGCCAAACACATGCAGTTGCAACCGTAACGTAAGTATCTTTATGGCCCTGCATCAGGACTGCGATCCGGAGGGGTTCGAGTTGGGGCAGTCTTGATCAGTGTGTCTGCCAAGACACATTGGAGACAAATACCAGCAAAGCAGATTGACAAGCTCATCAGTGACGACTGTCACCAATCTAGAATCAGGGATCAGGAACCAAATGTGGTGGCCTCTGTGGTAAAGTATCGTTTTGCCGTCAAGTATGACCTGCAGAGCCTGCTCTTCAGAAAGTGCCTGTTCGGCCTAGTGGCCGGTCTTCTGCAACAACTAATACACAAAGACCAGGGCAGCTCTTCATCCACACCTGAAGCTGAAAGGGGGAAGCCCCCTAATTCCCTTTCCACGTCTAAGGGCAAAATACATTGCCATGGAAACCAGGTCCTATCAACCATTTTCCCGCGCTCAAATAACGTAGAAACCCAATCCCAGGTCGTTAATCCTTTGGAGGCTTGCCTTATGCTTAAAGCTCAAAGGTCAGATCCGGTCGACTGAATTTGGTGGCAAGTGACAAGGAGCTTGGCCCCACTATGGGGTACACCAAACACAGAACTTTCAAATTCGGCTCCATGTTAATACCCTGATGGAAAAAGATTTCGGGGATCAACTGACAGTCAGCTTCGAAGCCTGCGCACAAGGGAAGCCGTGTGCTTCGTATGCGATGCGCTATCGTGATACTAGTTTTTTTTTTTTATGAATATGTTGATTGTCTGGCAACAGTATCGTCTGTGATATTATAATTTGATGACTTTTTTGCAGGATACACGTGGGATCAGCCAAAGCAAGAACCTGCCCACGAAAAGTTCAACAAAACGAGTTGCAAGGGGGCGCTGAAGAAGAAATCTCAGATGGATTGGTTGGGTTCTGCGTTATGTTTCAGGAGAGCATAGCGGGATCTTGAAATAAGACCCATTTTGGGATTACATGATGAAGAGAATCTCAGGCGCGCACATTTTGGTCTGCAGTTGAGTTCTGTGGAAATCTCACCTTGCACAGACAGCCTTGGGAACATGCCTCAGGGCGAAAGTGCTTAGAAATGCTCAAAAGACCTCTCTCTGGTGCGGAGGTGTTGGAGGGGTTTGACACATTCCAAATCAACCTGAAAAGTGCCAGCAACTGTTCTTTGCCTTTGGTCTATGAGTTCAACATGCTGAGGGTCAATGTGTGTGTGCTTGCTTGGATTGACATTTGAGGAGCTTTGGTTGCCCATGGTAGTCCCCTAGCAAAGATAACCCATTTGGGGCCACTTTGGTGGTAGGTCGCTTCTTTTGTTTGTTCGCACCCTTGTGACATCTTCCTGCGGGCTGGCGATCCATCCTTGCAGGCGAAATGGCGGAAGGCTGGACCCCTCTCTGGTGGGCTGAACACGGTAGAGTATGAAATGCAGCCATTTGGAGGCGTAAGCGTTGATTTGCTTTGATGGTTTTCCTTGTGCGCTTTCTTTCTGCAAATGTCTTGCTGACATGGTCTCAGTGGATACATGGAGTAGGGTCCTGCGATGGTAGAAAACGAACCAGACCCGGTCCCAAACCAAACAAAGAGATTTCAAGGGGAGATCAATCCCAGGGCGTCCACCAAACCGCCGGAGACATCCTTGGGAGGGACAGATTGGCATCGGAATCAGCGCCTCTCTAGGCTACAGCCACCTACAGTCGCCTATAGTCCTACTGGTGAGGACACGCTCGAAGTTCGCCCAACTGGCGCAGTGATCCCCTGCAGCTTTGGCAGGAAGCCAGACATGCATGGAGCAGCAGCTGGATAACGCATACATGCCACATGGCGACCATCCAAAAAGCAACACGTGAATCTTGGCAAGAGGAACCCTCACGATCCTATGCATGAGCATGAAATTCAGAAAGTCCGAGGAACCCTCATGGGCAAGCTCAACTCGAAGATGAGCGTATCACTTTAGACATGACCCCCTAAAAGCACGCAGTCGACTTGGCAACCAAATCCCCAATGCTTAATGACTTTTGCGCCGTTCTCGAGGACCGACGAGGACCGGACATTCCCAGGATGCCGCAAAGCGAACTGGGAGTCCCAACAATTAAAAGAACAAAAGAACAAAAACAAGGTTTATTTCTGGGGGAGGGAGGACTTCATTGGCGGGGCACATGTAGTGCCCGACAAGATGATTGTACTGCTCAAGGCAATGATCCAAGTGAACAAAACACACCTATCACTCGGTTCTCTGTTTTGCCTAGGGTTGTCCTATGAGGTTCACACTGCGCAAAGCCCGCAAAGACACTGTCTGAGGTGTATGTTGCCTGGGAGTTTCAACGACCTCACAAAGAATCGCAGTAATTCCCCAGATGTCGTCTGTCGGGCATAACTAGTTTTCATTGGCATGGAGCAGCATGAGTCACCAGGTTAACTTCTTGCAGCCACTCTGTCTGCGAAGGTTTACAAGAAGCAAACATGTTTACAACTGGACTTCACCTGCTTGGCCTGATTGGCCCTTAAATTTCCTGTGGGCTTCCCTCCAACATCACCCACGGCGTCCCCACATTTAGGAAACACTCACATGATACTTCTGACTTGCCGTTTCCCAAGGACCAAACGGCCTTGAACTGTTCATGAAGATATGGAACGTCTTCCCCTAAAACATGCAAGGTTGATGGCTTTCGAGAAGCCCCCAAAAAGACGACTCGCCCTGACGACTCGCCCTGACAGGATGACAATGTCCCATCCAGCTCCTTTCGAGCCAATTCTTCTCACTGTGAATTCCCCTCCACTGGTTGCTGAGGTTCCTCCAGGAGATTGACTTTCTCAGTTTCCATGTGCGGTGGCGGTCTCCTTGGCAACAGAAAATGAGGCGTGGAATTGAACATTGGAAACCTCCCATTCGAATTCTTATTCAAGCATTGGTTTGCGGGCAAAAACTGCCAAACCCTGCGCATCAACTGGCTATGAACTCCATGGCAAACACGGACAGGTGTCAAAATGTGGCTTGAGGCTCGATGCCAAAAAGAACACGTCAACGAAGGGGTCCTGACCCTTCGATGAGACAGTGGCCCATCGGCTTCGCCCCAAATCCTTGAGCAGCAGTTTTTGAAATTGGGCAGCTTGTTTATCTCAAGCTGTTTCGGGCTAGCCCCTTCCCGAATTGGCCCTTCCTGACCTGGCCCCTTCTCAACATATGATTCAGCTGCCAACATGGAGCAACCAGACGGTGCCTGACTCAAGGGGTCGGGGGTCACCAAATTCATCTGTGTGGCCTTCCGTCACAAACGAATTCGAATTTCCAGGAGTTGTTCCTACAATTTCTGAGACGGGAGGTTAACAATAGTGCACTTTGAGTCTAAAGAAAAACACCAAACTGAAATCAAGAATCTCTAGAAACCTTCGCTCCTTTTCTTCCCGGATCGGTGAGCTCGATTCAATTGGTACAGCTCGCAGCCACCTGGGGCCAAAGCCGCTTGCTACCTTTGAGCAGCTAAGTAACTTCGAGGATCTCCAGGCACCTAACTTTGATCTCCAGGAATGCCAAAATCGGAAAGGCTTTCAGCCGTCCCTTACGCCAAGAAGCAACAAGTGAGGCAGGTCCGTCGACTCCTCCTTCGAAACCGCGGCTGAAGGCGTCGGAGGAGGTGTCGTCCCAAGGTGTGCTGCCTGGTCAAGCTGCGTAAACAAAAAAATGCATGATACATGGGTGAGTTATGTTTTGGAATGACCATAGATGACAATTCAACCATCCGATCCCTGTCATGATACACCACAGGTGCGTATATGTTCCAATGAAAGGACCCGACCCCCTGTTGGAGATTTTCTCTTTTGGGTTTGCCTCGAAAAAACAACCCCACCAAGCAAATGGGGCACGGTCAAAATTACTTGTTTCCCGTAAAGCACATCTGAAACGAGTGAGTTCCCTGGTTTCTGCGGAAAATTGTTTGAACCCCTGTGTTCCTCCTCGAATGGACAGACTGGTAATTTTACCCAAACCTCAAATCAAAAAACGATTGCAGCTGTCGAGGTGCGATCTTCTGGGCCAAGAGCTTGGGGCTTGGTTTCTCCTTGGCCGCCTCCTTGGCCGCCTGAAAAAAAGGAGCAAACGCTTTTTCGTTTCAAATGGGTCCTTCCTTTTTCTACCAGGGTCGCCTTTCACAACTGGGGATCAGGGAGGGGGATGATAACCCCAACATGGGATTTGGAATTGTGCCATCTACTTTCAAAAAAGTTGGTCGGAGACAATCTGGAGACCAAGAAGCTGCCGATTTTCCCTAGGGCGGTTTTGAACAAGCCTCAAATGGGTGGTTTGACTTGGGATGAGCTCCACAAAAATTTGGTTTCTTCTGCTCCTGGGACAAGAGCGATGCAACACTGTTCAACTGGTTGAGGTTCACCGTCCAACCGGGGTTCCTTCTGGTCTTTTGAGAAGTTGAGGGACCCTCGGTCAAACTAAAAGTTCTCCCCACCCCCCACCCACATGTCCGAGTGCCTCCCACCCCTTCACACCCACTCACGCTCAAGCGAATCACATCAGAGCTTTTCGCATGTCCTCGGAGCCCGTGCGTCTATTCTCAGGCAATTTTACAAGTATGCATGTTTCTGGGGTTGTGGGACATCCCGGTAGAGAACTCAGGCCAAGGTCAACGTGTGCAGTTTTGGACCAAGTCAGCACACCTGGCAGTTAGCGGGTGTGCGTATCATGTGCCGGAAAAACGCGTGGGTATGTGTACCTGGCGCGAACTACGTGGCAACCAGGTCCGGTCACTGAATGTCTGGGTCATCAGCTCCATGTTGCCAATCGCAAGAGAAAGTTTGGGCTTCCTGGCCCCCCACGACATCAGTGCCTTCACCCATTTCTCTCAAATGGACATGTGCTTTGTCACCAAGAATGCGACGGCATCCTAAACCCAACGGTCCACGAAATATTCCAACAGGCCGGGTATACCGGCGCATTGACACAAGGAGGCTGCAAGGGCGGCGGTTGCTTTGTGAGAGGAGATGAAACCGCCAGGTTGACCTGACGTGGGACATGTCAAACGCTTCAACCAGCCCCAGAAGGAATCATTGACACATCTTTGTATTAGCTCTGAAGTTTCCGCTTCAAGGAAAAACATATTGCAATCGTTCCTCAACTATGGCACGAACGCCGGACTTGCGCGTGATGGATTCTATGGCGTCCTAGGTTGCCTGGTAACCCATGTCTTTCATCTAGGTGACCTCAGGCGAAAGATACAAGTTGCTGACCAACGAGCAGCTTCTGCTTGGAACTGGAGATGCAGATTGGCACCGTCCACTCCTCGTGAACCTGGATGTTCTTCGCGAGAACAGCAAAGTGTTCGAGGCAGCGATGAAACGAGAAAGACAGAGGCAGCGCGGGTATTCCAGCTGAGGAGTAACCAGCAACTCGCAGCGTCATCTTAATGACAAATTGCGATGGAACCTACTTCTGTGCCCAAATGGCATGTCCATTTCTTTTCGCTGCAGGCCACCAGAATTTCTCACACTGATCCTAGGTGTAGTCAGCGTCTTCTCTATCTTTGCTGTATACATATCAGAATATATATCGTGTAGGAAAAGTTGTGTCTCTGTGCTTGTGAACGTTTCGGACCTTCAACCCAAGCAGTTTTTAAGCGCTAAGATACAAATATCCCAATGTGCTATTACTGCACTACTCCATATGTTCTAGGCTTATGAGCCGATTGATCAAGCCTCTCAATGGCAGCACTCTTTTGAATCTGAGACGCCTGCGTGGAAAAGAAAACTGTGTCTTTTCTTGCTTCTCACAGTATCCACTCGTGCAGCAACCTCGTTGCCATTTCTTGACTCAAGGCCTGGTAGCTTTTGCAATCTCTAGCGCGTAGAGAAGAGGCCCGCTTTGCTGACTGTGATACAGTTTACACTTGTTCCTATTGGAACCAAACACTGCTTACAATTCCATTTGGTCATTTACCTCTTCAATACATATTTACCTTCTGCGCCGGAGTAAATCCATCCTAGGGCCCTACGACATGTGTTCCGGGGCCACTTGGGACCCCCCCATCTCAGAGGTCGAGCAACGACCTTCTCACTCTGCTTCATGCTCCGGCGCAGTTGCTGTCGGTACTCCGCCACCTGCGCCTCTTTCATGCGGTAGTCCCGGAACCCTGAGATCCTGACGTGGCACCGGTCTGGCTCGTGAAGGAAGAGCCCAACTACTTGGACTCACCAGCCTGCAGCAAGGACTACCTAAGGACTTAATGAGGGGAGCTCCCACCCCTGTTCTGCTTTTGCGTGACAAATGACCTCCTCACAATCTCAACATGTTGGTATTTTCCTAGATTTGGGAATTGGCCAAGGGACAAACATGTACGGATAGTGTTCCAGTCCTCCTGGCCTGGTGTCCCATCCGAAAGGATCTTGATCAAGACTTTGGGTCAGATTTGGGGGGGCTAAAGCAAGGGCGCTTGACTTGCCTAGCGGTTGGCCCCGGAAATCGGCAAGGTGCCCTCGTGCGCTGCTTGAGTTCGAGGGAGTCTGTGACGAAAATTGGAAAACCCTGCTGCGACGCTGGGTAGAAATGGAAAGCAGCGCTTCCCTGCTTTCCGCATCGCCAATGAAAGCCTTACAAGTGACAAGCTCAGAATTTGCAGTCAACGGCCCTGTAGTGGGGTTATCCCAAGACCTGCCAACCCTGCCACGCGGCTGACCAAATCACAAAGCCTGAGGGAAAGAGAGCTGGCCCTCTACGTCTGGGTCACTGTTTGCTTCGGCCTGTGGCCCCAGCCACTAAACGCAGACAACAATATTGAAGCGCAACAGTCTCAAAATTGATTTTGAACAAGCCTTAAGTAGTAGTCTCAAAATTAAAACTGTTAGGGGGGCTCTACCGGAACCCACTTCGGTCGTCAATAAGGTCGCAAATTACTGAACGAACCCCTACCCAAACAGAGGGCCCTCCGCCACACGCGGGGGATGAGCAATCAACTTAAGGTCACCGTGCCGTCTCTCGCAAACTTTTAGCTGAGCTCAGCGCATGTTGGCAGACATGAAGCCATAGACCAGGGTCCATGACTCCTGAAACCGAGTTTTCGCAAACGGTCCTGGACGCTGCCCCAAAAAGTTTGTTCTTTGGCCTTTGGCTCACCAAAAGTGCTGAGTTGCTCTTGGATGCCACACTTGCCCGCAAACTCAAAAAAGGGGGCCGCGCTGCTGCTTGAATGCAGGGGGGCAACCCAGGGCCGAGCCCAAACACTTTGGTTTGAGAAACCACTCGAGTCAGGGGTGTTGGCAAGGAAATGGGTCTGTGCATGGTTCATAGTCAAATCGTTGGGTTCCAACTTGGACCAATCCGCAAGCAGGTTTTGGGCTCGGCTCTGGCACTAATGTGTAAGGTCAATCCAAGCAACCCAGGTCCAGTGACACCAGCAGCACCTTGTTTGGGGCTGCCAGGGAAGGATTTCTTCTGGCTGTGCTTTAAGGGAAGCCAAGCAGACGCCAGGTTTCACAAATGCTCAAACAAGCACAGCAGCCTCGAGAAATATGAAGGAAATTGCACATAAGCCCTTTTGGAGGGCTGGCCGCGCCGCATGTCTGGGAGTGTCCGAATTTTGGGGAGATGGTGGTTGGCGGCCGAAGGGAAAACATGACGAGGGTGGAGTGTTGTTGTTGCTTTGGCGCTTCTACGGCGTTGGGTTCTACACGCGCAGTGGTGAACTTGCCTCTGGAACACTGCGCCGTCATACCCTGCCAACGCACGCACCCTCTGCTATTTCAGCGCGCTTTCGCATTGTCTGAAAGAAAGACAAGAGCGACACTTGTCGCACGGCGGCCAAAACCCCTGACAAGGTACCCCGACCAAGTCTCGTGCTCTGCAAAGTGTAGCTAAAAGCTTTGCGAAAGGCTGCAGAGTATAGTGCAAAGCTTTGCGAAAAGTAGTTTGCTTTATACTTTCCCTTCCACGCTTTCCTATGTGGCCACAGGCCGAATCAAAGGCAGGCAGCTGGGATGCTGCCCAAAACAAGCGCGTGGCCTGTTCCACTGTCAGCTGTAAGGATGCCTTTGTTGCAAGCCTTCATCAAGGTAGCGGCGCGCAGTGCGAACATGCGCCCAGCGCCCTCGAGCACTGTGCCAAAGTTGGCGAAAGCGTTGCGCTGGAGAGGGCGCCAAAGGTTTGTTGGCGGACAAGTAGGCCAAGCCAAGGTGGCAGCCGCGGCGTGAGTGCAAACTTCCGGGCCTCAGACGACCTGCGTACCGCTCGAAACAGCCATCCGAGGCGACTACATGGCTGGCACGGAAAGAGAAATCATCTCCATTCCAATCCACAAAAACAGGACGGCGGTGCCTTGATTGTTCTCGAACGCTGCAACCTCTACCAGACACTCCTTCTTGAAGTGGTGAGGGCCAGTCCTCGATGAATGTGGAAAAGCCGGGTCGAGACCATTTCGGCCGCGAGCAGTTTGTTCCGGCCTGTTTCGGCCGCGAATATCTCCCCCGGCTTGTTTCGGCCGCGAACATCTCCCCCGGCCTGTTTCGGCCGCGAACACTTTGGAACGCTGAAAATGCAAAGTTCGAAACCATCCAAACGATCGAAAAGTTCGAAAAGATCGAAACGTTCTTCGAAACGTTCCGAACGTGCGCAAAGCTCGAAAAGTTCGGCGCGTTCCAAACTTTTGAAACGTTCCAAGCGTTCGAAATGTTCGAAAATGTTCGGAAAAGTTTGAAACGATTGAAATGCTCAAAAAGCTTTTAACGTTCCAAACGTCGAACAGTTCGAGAAGTTCCAAATGTTTGAAATGTTCCAAGCCTTCGAAAAGTTTGAAGCTTCCCAAACGTTCGAACAGCTCCAAACCGCATTGCTTCCTCGACTACTTTTTACGACTTAAATAACCGAAAGGCTATACCTGCAATGTCCCAGCTGGGGAACCTCGACCAAAAGAGAGGCCAAAGGCGCTAAAATGGAAATCTCCAAAAGAGTGGAGATGGTGGAAGTTCAGCTTGCCACCGGGTCCTGCGCATGTAGATTAAATGTTTCAGTAGCCCGCTGATCAGGCGATGTTACATGAGAACCCGTCATAACTGCTTTTTAAATGGCAGTTTTATCTGTACGCGGGACTAAAAGCTATGGACACACTACATGTATCAGTAATTATGCGTGTTCCTGACTGCGCAGCCCACTGCCATCCTTGAACGCCACTTTTGGCAAGGTTTGAACACAAATTCAGCGACAACTTTTCAGTCAAGATATCGGCAGTCCGCATGATCCCTGGCTTCAGAAAAACAGCGCATGCTCTGGACAATGACATGACCGTGGGCACCCGTGGACAAACTGCGGGAAGACAATAAAAAGGCGTGGAGGCCAGAAATGGGTGTGGAAAGGCTATTCAAAGCATGGAGATGGCTGCGCTTCGTGCGCTAGGCTGGTGGTGCGCGCAGTCGTTTCCGATTTGTTCCCGATTGACACTGCATTATTGAGGCTCAAGTCATGTTACCGCCTCGGCTGCATGCCTCTATGCAAAACATATTGGCAAAACACGGGGCACGCAAGGTCCTTCTAAATAGAATATTAAGCCAATGCGCACAGCAATGCTATCTACTTCAGGCAGCCAACTTGCATTTTTTAGCATTGGCGAGTTTAGCCAATTGGATGAAACATGCTACTACATATCCCCAGGAAAGAAAAAAGGTATACGCAGCATAAAAGCGCAGCGTGTAGCCTCTATCCAACTTATGGTTGAGCTACCTCGACCACACTTTGGACCGCTTTTGGGAGACCAGCCAGGCTCGGCAAAAAACGGTCTAGTTACATCGAAAACTCTTTTTTATTGCCAGTGAAAGGCTAGGGAAACCCTCGAAAAGTTCGCAACCTTCCAAACGTTCAAACAGTTCGAAAAGTTCGAAAAGGTCGAAAAGTTCGAAAAGTTCGAAACGTTCGAAAAGATTGAAAAGCTCGAGACGTTCGAAACGTTCGAAACGTTCGAAAAGTTCAAACGTTCGAAACGTTCGAAAAGTTCGACACGTTCGAAAAGTTCGAAAAGTTCGAAACGTTCGAAAAGTTCGAAAAGTTCGAAACGTTCGAAAAGTTCGAAAAGTTCGAAGCGTTCGAAACGGTTCCAAGCCTTCGAAACGTTCCCAGCGACCAAAGCATGTCACAGAAACTTGTTCGCAGCCGAAACAGGCCAGGGGCAGTGTTAGCAGCCGAAACAGGCCAGGAGCAATGTTAGCAGCCGAAACGGTCGCAGAGGCAACGCAGCCCGGGCAAGCCCTACCTCGTGGGAAAGGAGGCTGCCCGCAAACCCAGCAGCGCAGCTCTGCATAAAAAAGCTGGACATGATTGGGAGTGCTAGGTGTCCGCCGTCTTTCCACGGATGTACACAGACTTCACCAGCTTCTCTTCAAACACCACCTGGAGATCCATGACGTCAACGCCCGGGATCAATTCTACTTCGTCTTGATTTGCGGCGCTGGATTTGCTGGCGCAGAATGGGTTGCCGGCGAAAGGCAGCGGAAAAGGCACCAGGGGATGGGCGAGAGATCATCCAACAAAAAACTGCTATAAAGAGTCATGGTCCTTTGCTGGAGGTGTTGTCGGACATCAGCTATGGCACGCTGGGGCCATAAGAGCGTGCAGGGCATCGTCACCAATTGCCTGAGGACAACGGGCAGCACAGCAACTGCAAGTTCGGAGAGAGCGGCAGCAGCCTTGTTGCAGTCCTGGGTCAGCAGTATATCGGGACAACGCGGCGGCTATCGCTGTGACCTCAGATGGCGCAGGAAGCTGGAGAACGCATCTGCCAACGCCCGTACCCATAGAGCTCCAATCAACCACGCCCGTGACGCCCTCGCCTTACTGATCGGCCCCGATCACCATGAGAAACTCCATCTTCGCGCCCAATGCCACCCGCAATGACCTCCTGCTCCGCGTGCGTGCCACCCGTTCCATGATGCGCAAAGGCTTGAGCGGGAGCACCATGTGCCTTCGCCGGAACGAGATGGCGGCATCGCGCTCTATGGCCAGATCTTCCAATGGCGGTGGGGAATCGCGAAGGCCCAAGAAGGTGCGTCACGAGCTGGAGTTCCTGCATGACCACAGCCATGAATAAAATCAGGCTGGTTGTGGTGGTTTTTAGCATGCTCACAAGGTAAGAAAGCAACATGTGCCTTGGTCTATGGATGTTCTTCGTCAATCTCTCCAGGGACCTCCATTTTCTAAAATTTGCACATCTTCTGAAGTGAATGATCCCAAAATGAGTAGGATGCGGCTAGATTTTTGGAGCACATGTATGGTCCCAAGAACGGGATTTCTTCCCGGGAATGTTTTCAAAGCAGGTGTTGTTGACCCAGGATGTCCAAAAGGTGTAGAGATGACTTCGTCAAAGTGGGCGAAATGGTGATCAGGTGATCATCACTTAGCATATTTCAGATCGGAGCCTTCCACGCGTGTCATATGGAGTGTCAAAACCAAATTTTAACCAAAACCCGGTGACGAGACCAGTGTTCCGCCGTCCTTTTGGGGGCTGTACATCTTTCCAGAGGTAGTCCATACAGCCGCTGCTCTACTCCGTATTTGAGGTTTAGGGGCGGTGGTCCCTTGGGTCTAAAACGCACCCCACATTGCCGGGAAGGATGCCATGAGGGAGATCTCCAGCATTCTGCGTCCGCTTGTTTCGCGCCTCCAGGGAGGTGGTGAAGCGCTCGCCCAAAGCTTCGTGGAGCGTCAGCATCAGCGCGGCGTTGCCCACACGGAAGTACTTCCTCGGGCAAAGACACGGAAGCGTTTGGGTCCTAGCAAAAGGCTTCCTTTCGAAGGCATTTGATTGCGTTTCGAGGAGACTGAAACCCGTTTCTTGGAACCCGTTTGGGCTTGGGGATCCCTGTTGTGAAGCTACTGGTGATTGCAGTTTGAGAGGCTCTCAAATTTGCTCTTGCGGGGGGGGGGTCAATTTCCCAGTTCCATTTAGTGCATGTGTTTGGAAAATGTCTCGCATGTATCCAGCAGTTCTATTGGTTTCTAATACGCGCATTCCTTCTAATGTATCTCCAATTGTCTTGCCAAACATAGCACGCGCCTGCGCGTACATACTGGCTAGCATCTGTTGACTAGCTTGATCAAAAATCGATGGCATCCGTCTAGAATGAATTCAGAATATGCCTAGCACACATATACTTACCGTAGTTCCCATATAAGTCTAGAAGTCTCAGCATGTGTCAAGCGCGTTCCTGCAATGTGTCTACCACGTGTTACGTCGTGCATCTCTAAATGTGTCTAGCTTAGCTTGGCTGCATTTCTAGCTCTTATGGCTATGGATTTGTTCGGCTTATGATTTCTTGTACCACGTGTCGCAGCACAAGTAGTGCTTGTTTGCGCAAACAACCGTCCGCCTATCCCGCCAATCCATCAGACTTCGGTTCCAGGGGCTCTTCCAGGCCAAGGGTGGCGTGCTTCACCCCAAGGGCCGTAAGCTGCGGCGCCAGCTTCTCCCGGTTCTGCAGGCCTTGGGAAACTGTCTGGAAGCTTTTCGGGAGTCAGTACAACCTGGTGTCGACCATTTGCTCACTAAGCCAATGGACTCATGATCAACCTGCAACAAAAGGAGGCTGCCAAAAATGCAAAGCATCAAAAAGTCGGAGAGCCATCCGCACCTATTTATTCCTTCTACCCAAATTCAATGACCCGTCTAGTAGCACCCCGGCTCTTTCTGGTTTGGAACGTGTGTGTTTCCTTCCCAGGAAGTCATTATCATTTGAGCCATGTCCTAAACGTGTCATGATTTGCTTTGTCGTAGTATTTTGCTACGCCACTAGCTCGCGCCACAGTACGCGCGCGGAGTTTTTCCTTCCGCGGCCGTGGAGTTTTTGCTTACGCGCAGGTCGATATGACACGACTCTTAACAAACATGTACGGGATCTGGGGCAAATAAACGGAGTTCCGGGGACCAGGTTTTGGCTTCCCAGTCAAGCAACCACCCAAAAGGTTAGTGAGCCTAAACGGTGGGGTCTTGATTTTCAGTTGGTGGCCACGTTGGGTAGCGTGTCGAGGAGCAAAACCTTTCAGTTTCTGAATTCCCTACTTCCTAAAAAAAAGAGAACCCCTATCCCCATTGCGGATGGTGCGAAGGGAAAAGGGTAAACCCGCACTCAAAACTCGTCCAGCCCTCTGAATAAGCAACTCATCAATCACATCCTTCTTTTTGGGGGGGGGCCAAAGTACACCAAATCCGCCGACGCCAGTCGAGCGTGTAGATGGCAGTCCGCAACTTGATCTTCCTTCGGAATCTCTTATCAAAGCCGAAGGCTGTTGGGACTGCTATTTTTGGCATGCTGCGCTAGGTGTCCAAAACCCTGTATTTTCCAGTGTGTTTGGGCCTTTCGTGCTAAAAATCTGCGTTTCGCCTAGGTCTCCAGGATCTGCGTCCCCAGCATCATCCGGATTATCTTGTTGCCATGAATTTGTCTTGTGTTTGCAGATACTAGTGGTGTTTTGCTGTTTCAAGCGATGTTGGGATTGGCCTGTCAGGGGCTTGGGTGGGGCCAAGTGCAGCGATACTTTGAGGAACTTTTCAAAAATGAGTGATTCTTGCAATTCCCCACCTGTACGGAGCAGTTACTGCATTATCGTGCTTTTGGAAGTCTATTTTTAGGGTATGTGAGGGGGGTTGCCAGTATCGGTTTTGACGGTTGCTTTTGAAAAACTCGGGTTTTGTTGCACTTTTTGTGGCTAGCCGGCTGCGTTCCCAGCATTCCCACATCTCTTGTATTTTCTGTGTTTGGTCAATGTTGCGTGTCTGAAAGTCTTAAAATCTTGAGCGCGAAGATTGAGTCTGTTCCTGTAAGTTGTGCGGTTGCATCCCTTGCATTTCCAACATCCTCAGCATCTGGGACATGAAAAAACAGGCAAGTGCCAGTGTTGTACTTACCAAAAGAATGGGGCCTTGCTTTTATACCCTTCCGGGGGGCGGTTCTTCTCCTGTCACGTGTTCAACCCTGCGGCCGAAGTCAGAGCGGCGTTGTTTGCATTCCCATTAAGAGCCCCATGTCACCGAGGCAAAAAAGCATCTTTTTCCTTACCCTAACTTCGAGGCACCCTTTCCTTCCACGTGTTAAAAGAGCCCAGGGTGATCCAGGCCAAAAAAACGTCCTTTTCCTTACCCCAATACCTCAAATTCAAATTACCTGCAGCCGACGTTAGAGGGGCGTTGCGAGGGGCGTTGCTTCTCCTTTCATTTTGTCCCTTTTCACATGTTAAGAGCCCCATATGGCCTAGGCCAAAAAATGTTTTTCCCTGCCCCAAATTCAAGGCACCCTGCAGCCGACGTCAGAGGGGTGCTGTTTGTGTTCTCCTTCCACGCGTTAAGAGCCCTAATGCGACCTAAGGCAAAAACGTCTTTTTCCTTACCCCAAATTCGTCTGCAGCGGACGTCAGAGGGGCGTTGTTTGTTCTCCTTCAACACCTTAACGGCAAAAAGACGTCTTGCTCCAGGCCCCAAATTCGAGGCACCCTGCAGCCGACGTCCGAGGTGCAGCGGACGTCAGAGGGGCGTTGTTTGTTCTCCTTCAACACCTTAACGGAAAAAAAGACGTCTTGCTCCAGGCCCCAAATTCGAGGCACCCTGCAGCCGACGTCCGAGGGGCGTTGTTTGCGTTCTCCTTCCACGCGCTAAGAGCCCCACTTGACCCAAGCAAAAAAAGAGTCTTCTTCCCTACCCCAAATTCAAGGCACCCTGCAGCCGACGTCAAAGAAGCGTTGTTTGTTCTTCTTCCACGCGTTAAGAGCCAGCGATCTGGCAATTAACCCTTGAGCCAGTGTTGATCAGCCCCAGTTTATTAATAGGGGACTGTCCACTGGCGTCGGCGGATCGCGTAGCTTCAATAAAAACACAAGCACTGAACCAACCAGCTGCAATTCCCCCGTGTCAGAACGCCGGCCAGTCCTGCTACCGCCGTTCCGATGGCCTCCAAAACCCGCGTAAAATGCTCCAGGACCAGCGCCGGGGGACTGGCCACCGCCTTCACAGAAGCAATGGTGACTGGGAAGAAGGAAGTTGAAGCAATGGTGTCGTCCCAGTCACTGGTGTCTTGGGTCCTATTTGGTAACCCGGCAACCGAAGAGCCCAGCTTTTTGCTTAGTTGGCCAGCCAAAAAGAAACTGTCTCCATGACCCAAAATGGGGCATGTTGGGGCTGTGGCCCGTAGAGTCCGGGTAGCTCCGTTGGGGCCCTGGTTTACAGCATGTTCACATAGTTGGTTGTTCACTGAACAAACACTAGTTTCTGACAGTCGCGCGGCGTATGATTCCAGCAAACCAGCTTGTGTAGACATTGTTGCTTACTTGCAACCGGCATCGAGGTGCTTCTCCATCACCATGTGTTCATGGCATCTGACTTACGCTCACAGTGAAACCAAAACCTTGCCGCTGCCACAGATGCTCATTCCAAGTGTTCCAAGTGCGCCATGGGACATGGGAGATGCAATTTGGAGAGCAGCAACAATGATTTCTAATGATAGCTTGGGATCTGAATCTGCTAAGTGCTTTGGAACTAGTTTCCAACTCAACTAATGAGGCAGTAATCCGTCATTCATCAACCATGTGCTCCACTCTAGCACTATTCCCAGCACGAGATAGTAGCAGACTCCATGATCCATATTCCAGGCTTACGTTCTGGAGGCCAGCGAGCACTGAAACGATGATTGCAAACGCGACAGCTGTAGAACCCTGAGAAGAAGTCTATCAAGTCGCACATTTCCACATATTTGTGCCTTCCTCGCGCGCGCCAAAAAAAACATACTGTCCGTTTCTGATTGATTCGTGGTCATTGCTCGCAATCATGGTCTGACTCAAAGGCCTAGTGCAAGAAGACTTGACTATGTGATTCCAAAGGATGCGTTTTC